AGCTGACTTTCTTTAAAGAGTCCTAGATGCATGTGGAATCTGCTGGAAATTAGGAGATCTGGCACTATGTGACCAATTAGCCTCCCACAAAACCCTGTAAGCATTCAGTAGGCCATCACTAAGTACTTGGCTTACTGTTCATGCACTCTTTTTACACTTGTATAGCTTTTTGTTTGTTTAATACTATTATTTGTGTTCTTACCAGGTACAGAGAAGAAGCACAGTTCTATAAAGAGGAGCACTTAAAAAATCGTCAGTATCCCCAGTGTTATGTTCAGTACATGATTGCAGTCATCAACAACTGTCAGACCTTCAAGTATGTATGCACAATTGGAGAGTGCTATGAAAAATTAGTATTCATTATTGATGTCAGTTTATAAGGTAATAAATACAGATGTCTAATGTGAGTGGCTCTCTTAGACAAAACCCTACCAATATCCTTTTTTTGCACCAAAAGACCTTCATCTCAGATGTCAGCTGACTGCAGGAGGTGGGGAGGGAGGTCCCAAGCCATCAGAAGTATAGTACAGGCAGACACTGAAACTGGCCACTGAGCAAAGACAGATCAGACTGAGCAAATTGTTCACCATTCAGAGTAAATGAACTAACCACACCTTTGCAAATCTTTTAGTAGAAGCAAAATAACTATTCTTTGTATCCCGTAGAACAAAGGCATGATCATTTTTAAAAATCTTTATTCATTAGTTTTGACCTGCAACACATACTCCAGCTATCCTGCCTTAATTTTGATCTCTCACAAGTCACTATAAAGCTGGATGATGCATGTGGGCAAAACTAGGGAAGAAAAGTTTGTAGAGCCCACTTTACTATAAAATCTTACTCAACTTTTTTGATATGGTCCTCTGGCAACATTTCTCCTGCTCTTTTGGCAATGTTCTGTTTTTGTAGCAAGTGCTGGGCCTCAGGGATGGCTATGGCTCCCCCTGGTAGCCATGCAGCTCCTGCTTCACTCTGGCTCTCTGAGTATTCTCCCCTTCTTCCTGCCTGCCATGCCTTGATGTAATTATTTAACTTGGAAAAGGGAGGCTGCCCAGGGATCCCCAGAGTGAGCCCTTGTACTCTAACAGGCTGTGTTCTAGCACACTAATAGCCTTTAGGGCTTAATTTGTGGTCACTAACTTCCCCTGTAGCACACCCATGCCTTGCACATGTTGCTGTTCAGTCACTCTCCCTTGTTAGGGTCTTGGCCTTCTTGCCCCCTGCCCCATTCCTCTTGCTGGGCCCTTTAGCCCAGGCCCACTGTGTTAGACCTAGCTTCTGGGCTCCAGCCCCTATCTCACCTACTATGGCTCCCTGCCCAGCTCCAGATGCCAGGTGCCCGGGCCCTGGCCCTGGCCCTGGCCCTGGCCCTGGCCCTGGCCGGATCTGGGCACTGGTGGGACTTCCTCCACCCCTGATGTAACCAGTGATTTGGGTAGTGACTAAGTTACAACACAGGATTAAGCCCTCTGGCTATAACACAAACTCCCAACTGGGTCTGAACACCTACACCACCTCCTTGGCTGTATCCTAAAGCTTCCCCCTACCTTGAGTCATTTCCACTGTAAGTCATCAGCATTTTACTTGAATTATTCTTAGGGTAGCCCAGGCCAGCGAGTAAGTCCTCTGCAGTTCTCCTACCCAGGAGTTATCTCCTAAGCAGCCTCCAGGGCCAGACTGCCAGCCCTGGCTCAGGCCCTAGGCTTATATGCTCCCTAAGCCCTGCTCCCTTCTGGTTGGGTGACTTCCCTGGACTGGCTGCAGGTGTCCACCTTTACCTTGCTGGGCAGCTCTTTGCCTAGGTAGGCAGCAGCCTTTTCTTGCTGCCTCCCTTCTTACAACTGCCCCCTGTTTAGCTGCTTGGGCTCTAGCTGCAGCAGTTTCTGTCTTAAAGTAACAGGAGCCCTAGGCTCCCTGTTACATGATTCCACTAAATTTTGAGGGCCAGTAATTGATGATCTGTTGAGGTCCCTTGCAACCCTAGCATTTATGAATCTATGAAATATGTCCTCTGCTCTGAGAGGATGATGGGGTTTTATAAAGCTTTATAGATTGCAAGGTAAGAAAAAAAAATTAGGTTATATAGTCTGACCTCTTGCATATCATATGATGTTCAGTTTAAACTGTCAATTGTCATTTCTAGGATATGGTCAGACTAGTACATTTCAGTCTTCAGGGCACAAAACTTGTGTTGTGCAGAAAATAGGATGGACTAAGGTGCCACCAATACCCTGGGTCCTTGCAGTGACAAGGAATTGATTAGGTGAGATAGATATGTCCATATGATCCTAACAGATAATCTGTCTTTTGTGTTTAACACTTTGGTCCATAACAAGGATCTAATATCCAGTTATCTAATGTTCCCTTTGGACCCAAACGCTATCACAGAGGTGTGTCTTGTTACATGGACAGAGTCCTTTATTGTCTACAATAGTTCTGATGTGCTTAAGGCACTATAAATACCCGAGTTGTTGTAAATGGTTTATCATCTGTGTTACAACATTGAGCATTAGCAATTCTGCTTGTTTCAGCATCTTTGTCATTATCAGCTCACATGGGGATTTTACAACATAATATGGCAGTACGTATAACAAAATCAGTTACAACCTAGCCCTGCCCTGGGATGTACACCAAAAGTGAATAGGGAATCCAGTTTTGGTACAGAAGATTTTCAGCTTCTCAGGTTGATACAAGTTGATAGGTTACTTCCCTACTTATTCCACATTCTTTCAGGGTATGTTAAATACCACCTTGGTTCCGCTTGAGCCAAAATGAATTCAGAAAGACCATCCAGTTAAATTTCTTGTAGTACTTAATCTAGGCAAAATTTAGTAGAAAGGAAATTAAACTTTGACTTTTTTGCCTAGTATTACCACTGCAAAGTACTTCAGGATTAAAAGACTCAGCCTTATGAGCGTTCCTTTGCAGCCTGCCACAGTCTGCATATTTGTAGCATACAATTTGTCATGCATGTTCTGTAATGTGAGAATTGAAGGGACGTAGTTGAGTGTCAGTTTAGGGTTGGTTCTAAATCTAGCTGCGCAGACCATATTTACTTTCCCAAACCATCAGTAATGAATATGTCTGTTGTTGTGTGCAGGCTGTCAAACATAATTTAATAAAAATCAGAAGTACCATACTAGGACACTAGGTCTGTCAGAATGGTTGCTGAAAAGCTTTATTGTTTGTCACAGAGACTCTATAATCAGTTTGAAAAGAAAATATTTGAAAAATGAAATGGAAGAGGGAATGCCAAGCAGTCATGCAAACATGGATATGATTTTAGACCTCACTGCCAAAGAAGGATGTTCTAGCCTACTAGATGAAGTCTTCATGGATTTAGAGGTTAGATTTCTTTTTCTTTCCTCCAGAAAGAGCCTTTCTTAACATGTAATTCAGAAACAATGTAGTTAAGTATGAGACTGTCTTGGCTTTTAGGTGGTTTTTTGTGTTGCCTACTAATCAGTCTGTTAGCAGACTTTCACTGTTGTTCTTCACTGCACATAAACACCATTAATGTACTCTGTTTAAAAAATTACATTCTATACAAGTGGTTTTAGCGGTTTTTGTCCATCTCACTTACATCTTGTAGCACAATATACTTAGATACAGGCAGTCCTTGGACTTGCAATACAATTGGCTCCTGAAAACCGCATCTTAAATTGAAACGTAACTCAGAACCAATTTTCTCATAAGAAGCAATGTTATAAATGGGGGGTTGGTTCCTGAACGAAGGCCCGATACCCTATTTTCACTAAAACACCCCAGAATTTTGTACTCTACCAATTATAGATGAGTAATATAGCTACATTAATGTATTTATATTGTAAATAGCACTCATATTGCTTTGGAAGGATTTCTTTGAGGTGACTTTGCTGGACTTTTTGAAAGGCTCTTGGTCAGACTTTTTGAAGGGTTCATGTCTGGAGTCGTCTTAAGAGTCTTGGCTGCAGGTTTTTCTGAAGTCTTGTCTGCTTTCTTAAAGAAAGTATCCAAGGAAGTTTGGACAGATGTTCTCCAGGGAGATGAGCTATGCAGCAAATTTGTTCGCTGGCGTGGCATCGCATTGGATCAAGTGTTGTAAAGTAAAAACTGAGGTCATAAAGTTGAAACAGGGTGTCAATTTATAAATGTTTTAAGTGTGAAATGTTGTAACTGGAAACACCGTAAGTTGAGGGCTGCCTGTACTCAGATGCTATACTAAACCTATAGTGGGTGGGAGCATAGTATACTGTTTGGGAAATAGCTTAAGTATGTGATCTTAAATTACTGCGCACGTGCAGAAGTGGGCAGAATTCAAGTTGTGCATGCAACCTTAACTGACATTTCCTGACCTATTAGTTCTTCAATGTGAATCATATAATTTGTTGTATAGAAGAAACAATATATATAAGTTTTTGTATAGAATTTCTCAGTGAATATGGATATTTTTGTATTGACAGAGGGGGTAAACTGAGGGACAGTAAAAAACAAAACAAAAAAAAAAAAAAACAGTCAAAAAGGAGGAATCTGTACTAGCCATTCATAGCTTAGAAAGGAAAGGGAGGAGCCTGGAGAGATTTATATAAGTATTGCAGCAGCTTCTAAGTGCTTTCCATTAAATGTGTAAACATCTTGTCTTGGGCTAGTAAATTCCTTGTTCCTGAAAAATTTTTGTAAATGTAGAGTATTTATAAACTTTGTTACCAGCTTTTGTCTGGAACTGCATTTTTAAAGTATGATGGAAACTGATTTGATGGATACGGTTGAAAAATTGTTTTGATTAGCATTTCATTGTGTTTTCTTTTCAGCCACATCTCAATGAGCTGATGACAAAGAAGTGGCTTATGGGATCCAATGCTGTGGGCACTATCTGTGTCACTGTAGAAGATTATTTTAATGATTTTGCAAGAATAAAAAAACCTTATAAAAAGGTATTTGCACAATATCTTGGGGAAACTTCAGTAATGTATCTTGATACATTCAAATTTTTGAGCAATTTATTAATGATTTTTGGAATTCAGAAAACAACAATTGGGTATGTTTTATTTTTTACTAATAAGCTATCACAAAAAATCAAAATTCTTGCATTTCTCACATCTTTGTTCAGTCAAACCCCTATAGATTTCATCCTTGGAAGGTTAGGGCTGCAGGATTTGGCCTTAAAGAGAAGTTTAAGACAGTATGTGTTACTAAAGAATAATCTGTGCTACTTATGTTTTCAGACAAAGCCTAGAAAGGTACATTTTTCCTCTCTAGAAGTGAACCCTGTAGATGTGTAGCACATTCTTGGAACTGCACATTCTGAATTCCAAAATCAAAATTTAAAAAGGTCTGCTTGGGACCATAGGCTTTGACATGTTGCTGAACTCAGGTTCAGAATACAATTTATAGACGCATGTTGCCATAAGTCAGCCACTGTAGGTTGTTTCACTGTTTGCCAGTGCATCTCTGAACTGTTCCCCCTTCCCCCCCTGCCTGTGCCAGCCTTTTTTTAAATGTTACTTTGCTTGGACATCTTATTTAAATGAGTTAAAGGAAGTTTTATAGTTATCCAAATAGGTGAAACTGAAAGAGGTCAAGGTTTAGGAAAGGTTTCTGTACATAAAATGTGAAACACTCCAAAACTACTTGTATAAAGAGGATGTTGAATATGTAGCTTATGCCTCCCTTACTTATCAGGCTCATAGGACGAGAAAATTGTTTAGCATCCTTTTGATTGACTTTTAACTCTAGTGAAGACAATTTTGGCTTCTTTACCACAATATTTTAAAGGTTTGTAGGTTTTGCTTATTATGACATAACCTATTTCATTCAAAAACACTCAAGAGAAAGCACAAATCACCCCTAAAATTAATACCTTTTCCTTGGATAACCTTGTTTCATGGGATACTTCAGTGATTTTGAAAGAAGTCTTCTCCCTATACAGACTGCTACCAAAAACTGATCTTGGTACTTTGGTACAGTTGTTGTCATCTTTGTAGTATAAAGCCTTTGAGCTAAAACAGGTTTTTGGCAACTAGCAGAACTTCAGTTCTATCTGTTCCCTCAGCATCAATGTATGTCTCTTAAGCAAGGAGGTTGTAGTGTAGCTTTAGAAGTAGATGGGAAGCATCTTTCCCTTCCTATTTATTTATTACATTTAAAAAGTCCCCATGCCTCACTTATGTGAAACAGCTCTGTGAGTTTTTTTTCCGGAAAAAAGAAAGAGAGAAACCTGTCCCACCCAGAAAATCAGCCAATAGCCTGTATGGTCTGTAATTAAACTGCGAGGAACAGGGATTTGAACTTGGACCTCCCATTACCCAGATCAGCACCCTGACTACAGCCTGTTATTCTGCCTCTGTCTCTCTGAAATCTTTCCCATTGAAAGTTTCATTGAACCTGGGATGTGAAAAAATTTGGTTTCCACTAAAAAAAACCCCAACATGTTGTAAATAAATTTCCAACTCATTTTAGTACAAGCTTAACTCCCGTTGACCAACTGCTTTGTTGACACTGTGGGAGCCCCTGGAAAATGTTTACGAAAGAACACTGTTTTCTCATATACCACACATCCCCAAATTAGACATACACCAGGCTTTTGGGAAGGCAGAACAAAGAGGAAAAAATGTTTTCAGAGTTATGGCTGCATAGAGCAGGGACAGAGCCTAATCTTCAACTCACTTGCCTAATCTTCAGCTCACTCTTTTCTGCTCAGATAAAAGCCTCAGCTCTAACCCTTTCACATCCAAATTGTCAGCAGATTTCAGCTGGTCAGCTAAAAGCTGAAACTGTAGCTGACGCTGAAGACTGGATCCCATGGGCAGATCTAGGATGTTAAAAAGAGCAGGCTGTAGGGCTGTAAAATAGGGAAAGAAAGACCAGGATTGGCTAATAGCAAAATTGGCAAAGGGATAGCTTGATTAACGGGACATCAAGACAGTTAAAAAGGAGAGAGGGTCATAGAGTGGGGCGTGATTAGAAAGTATCATATACATTATAATGAGCTATGAAGTCAATTGACTCCGTTGATGCTGGCCAAATAGAAATCTCACTGCTGCTGCAGAGCATGTAGTTTTAAACTTTGGGTGGAGCAGGAATCAAGTGCACTTGCTCTGGATCTGCACCTCCCTTCATGCAGCTGTTGTCCAGAAGAAATGGAAAAGTAGCAGCCATCTTATGGCATCCACATGCTTCTATTTTGGGCAGAAAATATGCTACTCTGCTTAAGATGCACACCCCAGTTTTGGAAAGTTGATTTTTTTGGAGGAAAAATGCTTATGGCATGTGAGTGTAAATACAGTAAGTGGGTTTTGTATTAAGCTCCAGCTAAGTCTTCCATAATCTTCCTGTACAGCATCTTTCACATCTATCATGAGAGAAAAGATCTATTGCTGCTTTCTCAGCCTGTATCATACCTGACCCCTTTCTTCCTCACAGAGTCGGATTTACATCTCCTTTTACTGATACAGATCTGGAGTAATGTTATTCATCTTGATAGCACTTATTTGGACTTAAATCTACACTTCTGAAACAAAATTTTGATTCTAAGCTTCTGCTGCTGCTTTGTCTCTTTATACAGGAAGAATGAACTAGTTTTTTAACTTACAAAAAATCTTTCACTGCAGTGACAGGTGTGAAAGTTACTTATTAACTACTTGTGAATGTGTAAATGCATGTTAAAGACTAACTATAATTCCCTCCATAGAACAACATTTTTAGGTACCATTGGCATAATTCAGATATCTTTTTCCCCCCTCTCAGATCATGACTCTTGAGGCCCATCGTAGAGTAGTTGTGGAGTACATCAGGGCTATCATGTTAAAACGTATATCTTTCAAGAATGCAGAAGAGAGAAAAGAGGGTGCTGAAAAAATGATCAAGGAAGCGGAACAGTTCAGATTTCTCTTTAAAAAACTTGCAGCTGTAAGTACTTAGCTCTTATCATGATGTTAATTTGAAATTAAATGAAATCTTTTAATTTTACTAAATCCATTTAAAGGTATGTATTTATAAAACAAAAGTCTAGGGCTGAATTTGCAAGCAAGAGTTATGTGCCTAAGTATAGCATTTAAGCACCCCTGACATTCAAAACGCAAAATATTTTACCTTGGGGAAAAATGTTTTTTTTTCTTCACAAATACAGAGCATGAATAACATTAGGATTAGAAATTAAAGATTTTGCTTACCTGTGCTGTTATTTTTTCAATTGTATAGGGATCTGGAGAAGACACTGAAGGACTCTGTGACATTATTGTGGCTATTGCAGAAGTTATTAAACTGACTGATCCTTCTTTGCTTTTTCTGGAAGTCTCGACATTAGTTAGTAAATACCCGGATATCAGGTAATACTATTCATACCCTTTGAAACTCAAAGCCAAAAATCAACAATGTATTCACTTTTAAGATTAGAACTATGCTAGAAAATAGCATAAGTACTTTATTTTTTATAATTTTATAATTTAATCTCTTTCTTGTGAGGTTTGTACAACAAAAATACTAATATTTTAACCTGCGCATACAGATTTGTATTCTCTGGACACCAAAGGGATGGCAGGGTGCATCTTACAAGGAAAAGCCATAAAACTGAGTTGAGGGAATTTTGAGTGTCTGGAAGTTTTCCTAATATGACTGAACCACCGAGTGAAAGATCATGGGCTAAAAATGTGTTTTCTGAAACCTGTTTTGTTACATGCTTAATTAATAATACAAAATCTTGCAGTAACTTTCCTGGCTTGTACTTTTCTTTTGGCAGGGATGACCACATTTCAGCTTTGCTGACTGTGAGAGGCGATGCCAGCAGGGATATGAAGCAGACGATCATAGAAACTCTGGAACAAGGAGCCAGCCAACCAAATCCAAATTATGTGCCAATTTTTAAAGAAATTACAGTCCCCACATTAAGTGTGCCAAAACTTCTTAAGTAGCTGACACTGGAAATGTCTTTTTTTTTCATTTGGGGTGAACATATTTGAAATGTTTAAGGGCAAATTTGTAAATGCCATTTCAAAGGGCATTTAGTATGACACTGTTAATTACTCAGACTATTATTTATAGGTATGTGTATCTTTTTGGTGCTGTTAGTTGTAATCAGAATCCTGAATGCAAGTGCAGAGATGGAGAGCATGGCTGATTTGAAGAATGACATTTCTGATGGCCAGAGTGCTTTGTACTGACTTCTCACTTGTTATAGCTATAACAATTTTGCGGATTCTGTGAAATCCGGCATTGACCGTGAAATCTGGGCAGTGCCCACGGAATCTGCAAAATCTGCTGGGGGGGGGGGGGGGAGAAGGGGAGAGCAGGAAAGTGTGTGGCTTCATCAC